ATGAAAACTGATTAATTGATGATACAACAAAAAGTAAACAACAATAAACGCTGATATCCATAGCACTGAGGTTTCTACGTACCAAATGGGGAGCCATAATAACTGTCACATTCAACCTTAAATGTTCTCTTGTATCCAGTTATTACGCCAACAACTGCATGTCTATAATTTTTAGATCATCGCTTCACGGTTCTGATTTCTTCGCTGACGACAGAGCCGCTGATGATGGACGGCGGAGTACCGGCCATCGAATGCGCGCCGGCGCCACTCAGATCTCCGTCAACGACGACCAAAGCAACATGCATCCCGCACTGATCACAATCGATGTTTATTGTAAAGCTTCACATGGTATTTACATGTTTAATAATGGGATATTTTATGATCAACGATTGACGTGCCTTAGATACGTCGAAAGTCGAACAGAGCATCGCATCACGTTACGGAATCCCCGGCAAGAGCGCCGTCGTCCGGTGTGCAGTGAAGGAAAACAGCCCGTCTGTGACCGGTTTCCACTTCTGGCTGGACAGTCGCCTAATTCAGGTAGATGACAAGTATCAGGGAAACTTGAACCAACTGGAACAACGGACGACATCGCATCGCATCGCACGGGCCCGATGCGGTCTCGTTTTTGCTACCTGTTGCGCGGGATCTCTTGACATAAACTGGTTAATGTTACGGTTCACGGTATACGAAGATTTACGAGCCTATGAGACGCAATGCGACCAATGGCAAAACCGAGTCAGAGCTGTCATTCGTCTTCAAGAAAGCGATCAAGCAGATGATTGGACTTAATAAACAAGTTTCAATCGGTCAAGAGATTTTTCGTCATTGAATTTAGTCACCTCACGTCGTATTAAACTAACATTATACTGTTAAAATTTCTTACCTTTTACTGAGATGTGTCTGAGTTTAATAATTGGTAAAGACGTGAGATCGATTTGAGGAACTGAATGAACAGATTAGTGGAGCGGCAGCAAAATGTCGACCTAGTTGGTATGTCATTCAACGCGAAGAAACCAGTTGTATACAAACGAAGTCGGACGAAGTAACGAGATATGGAACTATTGACATCAGGAAGAGAAAAAAGGTAGACCAAGAATCAAATAAGTAATTGGAAGTGGCGAACAACCGATGACAGATACACCATGTTTTCATGGAACTAACGCATATATCATAACTTGCCGAAAATCTGCTGAGAAACTCGATCCGGCTGGTAAGAGTACGCCAGAAGTAGATGCATCTTGGGTTTAAGAAACATTTTAGAAGGGATTTCATGATTTACCTTTCTGCAACTATGAGGATCACCGAAGTCAGAAGATCGGTTGATTTCACTCTTTTATATGTTAGCACTCCTTGGAAAGATTAGACGTGAGACAGACCATGCAGGCCAGAAATTAAGGATCGTGGAACTTTGCAAAACTTTAAGGAAACGAATAAACGAACGTGTATGGGCCTTCAATTGCCGATTAGTAAAGGCAACTATTAGAGACAACAAACGCATGATGATACTAAATCATAGCTTTACGTCGGGAACGACAAATTTAGTTCCCAAAATAAAATTAGGGGCGGCCTTTAAAATCAAATAAGCTATTCTAAAAACGCGCTAGGATTCTATGGAAAATCTCCAAAGAGAAAACGTCAACATCTTTGGTGAAAATAATCATTCTGGAGATGAAAATGAAGCACGTGAAGTTCCAGATGTCTTACTAGAAGTGCGACATGCAAGATGAAGGGCTCCTGGCAAAAAGGGGATTAGGTAACTCATTAGATCTGGAGGTGAAGGAGTGACCAAAATATTAGTGCGGTTGTTTTCACGCTGTCTGAAACAACTGAAAATTCCAGACGATTCAGCTATTGCATCAGTGATTCTACTACAGAAAAGAGCGAGAAGGGGTTCGAAAAAATACAGGTCGATCAGTTTGTTACCAATCATCTAGAAGATCTTCAAAATGGTACCACGAATAGACCTCATGAAAAATCGGAGGGTGCACGGCCAGAGGAGCAAGCTGGATTTAAAAGTGGAATTAGTACGACGAATCATCTCTAGGTGATACTACAATAAGTAGTTGAAACAAGCAACGAATATCACCTTTCTCATTGCCTGAGATTCGTCAATTTCCAGAAGTCTTTCGACGAAGTCTACATGCTAAGGAATCGAGAAGAAACACAGATACACCATAGCCATAATTTTCAAGAATTCAATTACTAAGATGAAGCTAAGGAAAGCAATAAAACATAAGCTGAAAAAAACGTCTTGAAAAATCGTGCGGCGATGAATACCAGGGAAGTTATTACACCAGCCATAGAAGAGGTTATAACGATACTCCGTAGGGAAAATCAGGGGCTAAACATA